ACAATGTTTTGAACATTCCGAAGATCCTAATCTTTATAACTAAAAAGATTTCAATCACCCAATAAAACATACCATGTCATTTTCATTAGTGATCTCCCCAATTCATGTCGGTTTAACTCCTCATCCTTCGGTCTCATTATCATCAAAACCTGATAGAAAATGTACATATCTTCTTCGATTCTAGAAGAAAGGGCCAATAAAAATTGCCAAGGGAGGAAGGGGTTATAGATAGACAACCTATATAATGGAATAATAATTACTAGAATTTAATCCAATTATGGGATAATAATTACTAGAATTTAATCCAATTATGGGATAATAATTACTAGAATTTAATCCAATTTCCAAAGCCATTACACCTGTATGACCAGTTATTTCCTAGATGCTGCTCTTTATTAAGTTACCTGGCCTGTGGTTCACTATTGTATATATATTATTATTGTTTAAGTATTGTTACAGAATATAAGATTACACCAAGAAGAAGTGAGTTGTTGAATTATTTATTGTTCGATCTTTCACCCCTAACTAGATTGAACATACAACCCATCCTCGAAGGCAGGACTACAAGCAGGTCCATGAGAGAGAGGGAGAGAACGTCCACTTCGGGACTAACATATGGTTTTGATTTTATTTCTATAATTCGCTTGCGCGTAGGGGGTCTTTAGCAGTGGGAGGAAACCGGAGGACCCGGAGAAAACCCACAAGGTTGGACAGGCGACCATACTCCTTGTCACGTACAACCGGGGATTCGAAACCACGCTAGTTAACTCAATGACAGGCCTTATGATACAGCGCGCATGTGCTAACAATTCGGCCATCCAACCCCCAGCTGGTCCATATACCCTGGATGATACCTAGATTAAACTGTAATCACCACAAAAAAATTTTCAGTCCAATATTCATTTTAGTCGATTTGGATACATTTAAGACTGCAGTGGCTTGTCAAGACTATTTTACCATATTGGCATTCTGAACATCTGAGACACGCTACCTGCGGAGAAGTATCTCAGACACAGTCAATAGCCATGATATCCATATCACGTGATCACGTGGTCATGACATTGACGTCAATGGGTCATGAGGTCAACAACACGTTACATTGTAAACAATAGGTTTATCTTCAGCACTGTTTCCTTTGCACCCATAAAGACTATATAATTCGTCCAGTCCTAACATGTTCTCTCTTCTTCTAATGATTTTTCTCAAAAATAACACTACAACTCATAGAATTGACGTCGTCTCCAATGACAGCATCAGCAAATGGTAGCTGCCATCTTGGCACTATTTTGTGCGTCGATCGTGTCTATTTCAGATATACACAATCAATTCTGTTGATGTTTTTAGCGTTGGGATTGACTAATAGTTAATTTATTTCAGTTCTAAAACAAATATTTTAAACTTTAACGCAAATTTAGAAAATAGCCAAATTCTGGCTGGGATTACTGAGAAAAATGCCCATTCACTGCAAACGTGCGAAAAAAAAGCTAGCCACCAATTAATTTTGGTACGTTAGTTAGGTACGCCATATTGGCTGCGAAAATGAAATAGAACGGGGGTTAACTTCTAACTTAACGTCTGCACCAAACATTCGGTTAGCTTTGAGGTCAATTTTGCCTGGAATTTGTCGCTTCGGTCTCTGTTATTTCGACTTCCATCGTTATAGAAATATTGTCCTCGAATTCCAACTGTGGTAGTCAAAACAAAAGTAAATTGTCAACAAGAACAAAAGCCCAGTTACATTCAAATTTTTTATTGTTTGTGATTATTTGATTCAAATAAAATGAAATGAATTGAAATGGGGTTTTAACATCCTACTGTTCTGCTCTGACTGGGCTAATGAAGACGGACAAAAGCCATACAGTGTGCTATGATGGAAATTTTGACTGGCAAGCGACTCTACGGTCTAAACTTATACCGAATTCCTACTGCCAAGGGATCTTTTACATTCATGCTAATGTGTACACGGGACATCGATTTTTTGGCCCATCTGAATAACTATACATTGTTGTTTCCCCTTGTCAGGCCCTCGGCCCTGCACCACTGACAAGGAGGAAACACACCGGAAAATCCTGATGAACCTTCATGGCCATGCAGGGATCGCCCATAGGACCTCCATTATAGCGAACCTACGTCTTACATATTGAACCACTGTGACTCCTATTTAGTTAAATTTGTTAATAATATGTGTATGAACCATATTGATTCATGTGAATTTATATATTTTGATAAAGGGCCAATCCCGATAATATTTTGTAGAATAAAACTGCTTAATTTTGTGTTAAAATCCCTTAAAATCCTCTACCTTAGGGTCGAGCAACTAACTTAAGTTATGTGATGCGTTTCCGAACAACTTAAACCTGTCAGTCTTCATCTGGAAATGGAAACCGGTGTCCCACCCTGTATAATGCGGTGTCTGGATAAAACCAAACTTTTATTTTATAAAAATAATGTGTAGGTGAAATTTACCTTTTGTTATCAAGTACAGCACATTGGCCATTCATTGTATAGACCTCTAAAGGGACGGGAATCAATTATCAGGTCACTCAACGAAAAATTTGACCCGAAATCTTAAAAGGATTACGTGTCCGGATAAGCAGTTTTGACATTCACGTCCAAACGACTCAATATTTTGAGCTTAAAGTTTGAGACAAGGTAAATACACCATTCCTCTATATTTTGGCGTTTAAATTTCATACGTACTCAGACTTTTATTTTTGAGACTCTGTTCAAATCGGGATGGTCCCTTTAATAATACATGTATGTGCATTAATCATATTTAATTGTTTTCCTCACAACCTGTTATGAATTTCACTACAAATCAACATCATTAACTACACTGTTTAATTTATTTATTAATGGTAAAACCCCAACAAGCCAGATTAAAAGTTGAAATAATGGTGGATTTGGGTAGATTTGGGTGAATTTGGGAAAATCGTGCTATCGGTTAAATGTAGAACACTGTACCAGATTTACCTACATGCTTGGCAAGGCTGGTTCCTAGGAGACCTCCTGCTGCTCTACTTCAAGAATAGATCTGTGCCTTAAATGGCCACTATATCCAAAAATAATTATAATGTTTTGTAATGTCGTTCTACTCGGTTTCACATCACACAAAGAATAAATACACCTTTTAAATTCCATTAAATGAAAGCAGAAATATACTTCTCAAAATTCTCGAAATATACATAAAGGACAATATTGGTGCCAGTCATTATCACATATGTGATAGCTGAGCTGGTTAAACACATTCCAAATATGATTTTAACACAGAGATCATTGCTACGATAGCTGAGTAATACAGGTTTTCTGAATCGGAAGTAACGAACGCCAAAGGAAAACATGAGCCATCCCTCTATATAACTGACTGATGTGACGAGTGATAATAGATACACGACCGAAATTCTGCTCACTAATAATTCCTTCCAAGACCAAAAGTTGTTGTGTGAGACTGTGTTTCAGAGATATTATTTGTACTAAACCAAAAGATGCCACTCCTAACGGTACAGTTAATGATAAACAATTTAAAAAATAAAACGAATGTAATTTCTAAAGCTGCTGTAATAACCAATAAGCTAAATATTACTGCTATTCAGAATCGTTAACACTAGATTTTTTACGCCTGTAATAGTTGATATATGTGTAGAGAATTTCACGTGCGATGGCTATTTATAGTATCATAGACTCCACGGCTGAATATTATTTTACTGCGTAGTAAGCGAGAAATCACTTCTGATCAAGCCACCGAAGCGTGTACATTCGCCGTATCGTGACCAACTTTCTGTACGGAAAATTATGGGTGCACGGGTTTCGCGGGTACTACCAAACCACATTTTACCAATCGCATAAATCAAAACAAATACTGTGATTAACAATAAATTATAACCACCACTGGCACCAGGCTCAGCTGAAGAAGTAATAGGACTACGTGTATTTGGCGGGATGAAAAAAGCCACAGGGTCAGTGAAAGTTTATGAAGAATTTTCAAGAAATAATTATTTCAGACATATATTTACATTGTCAAGTAATCTTAAAATGTACCATTGTTGCTGTTTTATAAATAACAGTACACTACGGTAACAGCAATGCACAATATTAGATCTTTGTACGATCTGAGAAATATCTTTCTCTAGAGTTAGGGTTCGGGTTAGGTTTATAAATTACATGTCAAATGTACCAATTGAAGTTGTAACAACGGTGGATTGTGGCTAAAACTATTCTGAAGGGTTAGGGTTAAAATTGTGGGTATAAACACGGAAAGATATTTCTCAGATCGTTCAAAGATCTAGTATCGTGCAACAGGAATAAATCAGTCGCCATCTTTATTCGGCGGTTGATTGTATGTAAAAATGAAACGAGGATCATGTCAACCCCAGTAAGTCAGAAAACAAGATAAGAGCATAGAATGATTATAGCAGCCACATTAAAAATAAAACCGCACATTGACTAGTATGAAACAGTAGGGACCAGGTATATTATTTTGTAATTTTAATAATTGACAATTGTAATTATTTAAGATTTTTGTTTTAGTTAACTTTTTAACTATACAACATATGGTTAGGCAAAAATACTTCATGTTACACACAATGCCTTTTAAATAAAATAATAAAAATATATAATAAAACCCTAAGAAGAAACTAATGTAAATTTCAGTACGAGTTATCTTCCGGTTTTGTTCACAATATCATCCAGATTTTCCGGCATAGTTCCCCCCTTGTCAGTGATGCAGGACGGAGGGCCTGACAAGGACAGCTGTCTAGTCCTTCGGATGATATGAAAAACCGAGGTCCTGTGTATACATTGGAATGCACGTAAAAGATCCCTTGGCAGTTGGAATTCGATATAAGAGTAGGCGATAGTGCCGCTGCCCGGGCAACATTTCCCTCATAGCACACTGTATGGCGTATGCCCGTCTTCATTAGCCCAGTATAGGAGCAGAAGAGTAGGACGTTAAACCCCATTTCATTTCATTTTTGTTCACAATATTTGCTAATTTATGACTACTGACGGTACCTTACATTGGTGGTAACTATAACCTCTAGAGAGAGAGAAATGAAATGGGGTTCATAAGCCGTCTGCTCACACTGGGTTAATAAAGACAGGGTTCGTTTACATGCACGGCAATGACCACATTCGACACAAACTAGGTCATTTCGTGACTAACACATAGTTCAATTTTATTTCAATAATTTGCTTTCGCACAGCTGTCTTTAGCAGTTGGGGGAAACTAGAAGACCCGGAGAAAACCGACCAGATTGGTCAGACAACCCTACTCCTTGTCACGTACATACAAGCTGGAAATCAAAACCACGCCACTTGACTCAATGACTAAATTCATAGACCATCCAAACCCCCGAAACAGCAAGAGAATATTACAATACTCAATATTTTAAACCATTTTTATTTGTTTTTTCACATAAAGACTACAAATTTAACTGTATTTATTTTATGTTTCAATTATCTTGTTATGAAAGTTTCCCTATAATTCACCGTAAAAACCTTCATCATGATGTATTCAAAGAGTTAGCACCCAAGAATAATCAATTTATTCATATTAATTGTATATTAATTTTTATGTCTTTACACATCAAGACTACCAGTTTAACTGTATTAATTGTTATTTAAGGGAGAGAGAGAGAGAGAGAAATGGGGTTTAACAATTAACATCCACTCAACACAAACTAGGTCATTTCGGGACTAACATATGGTTTAATTTTATTTCAATAATTCGATTGCGCATAGGGGTCTGTAGCAGTGGGAGGAAACCAGAGGACCCGGAGAAAACCCACGAGGTTGGACAGGCGACCCTACTCCTTGTCACGTACAACCGAGGATTCGAATCCACGCCAGTTGACTCAATGACAGGCTTTATGATACAGCGCGCACGTGCTAACCATTCGGCCATCCAACCCCCCTGTTATTTAAGGAGCCAAATCTTTAATCCAATTTCATCCAGTCTTCGACATTGCAAACACGATTTATTGGTCAATTTAAATCAACATTGGTGTTGTTATCTTACTGTAAAAGGTGGGCTTCTGATATCCAATATTATAGACAAAATGAAAATTTTAATATTGGCACGCAAATCGTGTGCCAGAATGCCATGAGCACCAGTTGCATTAAGTAACTTGATGAACAAAGCTAAACATATTCCATGTACATGTAGGAGAATACTACCGGTGTAGACTAGAAAAACCAGATGCCACAGACTGTCATTCAATTCAGACTCTTCGGGTATTTCCCCAAACATAACTGATTATAAATTACAGTAACAAGGGTCATACCTCTGGCAGTAATTATCGGAAATCGCTGAAAATCAATAGGATTCTTCATCTCATGACCTTAAACACTGTGTATAAAAATTTAAAGTCAATCGGATATTAACTTTGACCTCTAGAGCGTCCACAAGATTTTTTGAAGTGATCAAGGGCCATAACTCTGGCAGTAATTACCGAAAATCGTTGAAAGTCAATAGGCTTCTTTGTCTCATGACCTTAAACACTGTGTATAAATTTAAAGTCAATCGGATATTAACTTTGACCTTTAGAGCGTCCACAAGATATTTTGAAGTGATCAAGAGCCATAACTCTGGCAGTAATTATCGAAAATCGCTGAAAATCAATAGGCTTCTTTGTCTCATGACCTTAAACACTGTGTATAAATTTAAAGTCAATCAGATATTAACTTTAGCCTATAGAGCGTTCACAAGCAATTGTGGACACCGGACCGACGGACGGGGCGACAACAATATACGACGACATTTCAATGTGGGCGTATAAAAACAGAAACAATTGAATCTAATTCAGTTTATGTACATTCATATTACATTATTATATGCGTTGCGACCCATTTGTATCCATTTCTACATATAGGTGCTAAAGAATAGCGATTTACCTCCTTTAATCAGAAATAGTTTCAATTAACTTGTAAATCAAGTGTCCTTATAATTCGCTTAGTGAAACCAAATGAAAAGAGAGAGGAATCCCAAACTAACATTAAACATACATTATACAAGAGCTAAATCTGCCTATTGCAGGTCTTTCTTTAGACCTGAAATGTTATCTAAAGTATTAATTAGATATTAATTAACTTATACAGACCATAATCAACTCACGATGGCATCGCTAGCCTGCGATATTTACTGGATTATGATCCCTTTTGCTGCTCGACTTCCATTTATAATTTAATCATGAAATGGATGATCAAGACTATGTTTTTATCGTACAGACTTTAGTAATGATGATCGAGGCTAGGCCAATATTTCAATCGCTTAATTCTCTGTTCATAGTGGATCAATTTGACTGAAATTTTCAGCAAATTGCCTTTACATTATCTAGTTTTTAACTATTATAGTGAGAACTGCCAGCTCTTTATCTAATCTCCCATAATGTATCTTTAATCAGGAGTCTGTATACTCGTAGTTATGATTAGGATAAATTATTTCCAATGAGTATTAGCATGTTGCACTAATTCTCGTTTCACAAAAAATCGCATCTCACATATGTCACATTTATGGGGTTTCATATTCGTATGTCTTAAAACATGTTTATGTAAAGATGAGATGCACCGAAACGATTTACTGCATATGTCACATTTGTGTGGTCTTAATCCGGTATGGATAAATGCATGAGCCGTTAAATTAGACACGTGTTTGAATCTTTTAAAGCATATATCACATTCGTAGGGACGTTCTTCTGAATGTACGCGTAGATGTCTTTTTAACTGAAAAAGCGTGCGAAAACAACAACCGCAAACATCGCATTTATGATTTTTTTCACCTGTATGAATAAGTCTATGTGTGATGATACCACCTAGTAGGTGAAAGTTCTTACCACATGTTTCACAAGTATGAACTTTTTTCCCTTTGTATAAAGTCAAATGCTTCTGAAAATCTTCATCGCATTTAAATATTTTCGTGCAAACGTCACATTTATAAGCATGAGTCTTTAAATGATGTCGTAAATTGGCATCTGTTGGAAAACAATTACCGCAAATATGACATTTGTAATTTTTGCGTCCCAGTACAAGACACGTTAAAACATGTGTCTGTAAAATTTCTGATGTTTCAAAAGAAGCCTCACAATATTCACACATAAAAATTTTATCATCACTATGAGCTTGCATGTGCTTTAATAATAGTTGTGTATTTTCAAATGACAGATTGCATATTCCGCAAACCAATGCATTATTGTCAGTTTGAAATCCTTCAAGTCCTGTAGACGTGTTTGAAACTTCTCCGCCTTGATTATCCAGTAAACTCAGTTCATAATTTGTGTTAGCTGATTCTGCATCCTCTGTTTCAACATCTTGTGGAAATTCTTCCTTAATGGATAGTACTGAACAATGATTACTTCCTTCACTAACTTCATCATCATTATCTGACAAAGGTTCAGCAAAGTCCACCATTTCTTCTTTGATTGTCGTGACAACAGAATTATTCGTTATCGGACCTCCTACATTATTACTGGAGAAAGACAAAGGTTGGTTGATGGTTGTTATTGGACTTGGATCTGTAATGTGCTGGTTCAGTGGAGTAATGGAACTTACATCTTGTCGGCCTGTCGGATATAAGTATGTCCTTGCTACTTTCATTTTATTTTCCCTCCTTTGTTTATGACTTCCAACTGCAGAACAACTCTGACCTGGTTTACTGGGGTTTTGCGGAGCATGGGAGGATACGAATAGCGTATTCGTTTGCTGATTTGCTGAGAGCTCTGATTGGTTTACATGGCAAGATTGAGGCAGCGATGTAATAACTTGTCCTGTCCGATACCGTAAACTTGACATACCATCATCATTAAACTGTGATCTGGTATTTATTTCCTCTGATCTTGATATCAATGGACCTGATGACGGGATCATTATAACTTGTCCCGTTTGTTTTGGTAGCAGCGAACGTTGGAAAACCTTTGTTCCAGATGAATTTTGACCAATAGTGATCTGGTTTGATGGAGCTTGAGAAGATAATGATACAAGTTTTTCTGGCGATTTCTGTGCTGTCTTGTCCAAATTATCTTGATTGATGGATGGCACCAATAACAATTTCCCATCAGATGTTCGGATAATGTTACACTGTATTAAACTATTCGAGCTAGAATTAGGTTTGGAAGTGGTCGACTGCGTTATAAATTGTCCTGTATGGTTTTGTGACGGTGTGGGTGTTATAATTTTTGTATCGGTGCAAGATGCATTCTGGTCCATGTCAGTTTCGTTCAGTGTGATCTGATAATCCATTGGCTCACCTTTAGTATTTTCTGAAATATTTTCCTCAACTTCGGAGTGCATAGCTTTTCCTTCTAGAATTTTCAGACTAAAGGTGGACCGAGGTGGTTTGGGCTGGACTGTCTGGTCTTGTAATGTTAGTTCTGTACTAAGACTGTCCATCTCTGAGGGCTGGCCTGACGGAGTAGTCTGACACCCTGGATTTGTATTATCGCTAGGATTAGCTGACGGCACTGGTACCGAATCTTCAGACTTTTTTTCGATGTGGTGAGCTAACAAACTAATCAAATCAGCTGCGGTCCGTCCTTTGGTTTGGTCACACAGATTCTGGGCAGGCCTAAATGAAATATTTCCTGTCTTTTGCTGGATGGTCAACGCACTGGGTGTTACTACCAGCTTTCCATCTTGCTTAACGACCCCCAGTGATTGAACCGTACTGTACATGGCCTTAACTTTTAGTCGTCTTTCTACTAAAACCATCTTAAACACCGTTAATTTTTCCTCAATTTTCAAATAGCTTTCGATATCTTTATAACAATCTGTACAGACACTGTTGTTTTTCAGCTCCTCTTTGGCAATCGTAGGATCAAGGGGTGCCATAACCTCCTTTATGTTATTTAACCGATGTTCTGTCAGATGGAGTCTGTATGCGTTGTTGATAACAGGTATGCTGTTCGACTCCTGCCTCAGGAACGAAAATCCACACAGAACACATAAATGGTTTGGTAAAAACAATTTCTCCTTAGTAGCCATCTTGTCAATCAATATCTCATAGCTCCTACATGTATGGAAATTTCAGTGATAATCCTTATGTAATGAATAAGATATAGGCCTTGATATGCCTTGATATTTAAGCAATAAGATGTAGACCTTGATATGTTTTTATTCTGAAAAAAAAAAACAAAATTAAAATAATTAAATCAGTAATACTTATGAATAATATAGGCTACATAACAGTACAGAAATTGTTTTGGTTTTGTTTGGCGTAACCTTAAACAGGCATCATGCAAGAGCTAAATCTACCTATTGCAGGTCTGAAATGTTATATAAACTATTGATTAGACATTACATGTAATTAACTTATCCAAACCATAATTAACTCTCGATGCCATCTGATGGGTCCGATTGTTAACAGATTTGAATAAGACCCGCAGTTCTACGGCTGTTGATGATTAACCATGAAAATGGTTAATAATCAAGACTTTGTTTATTATCATAACAACGATAACAATGAAAATCAAGGTTACAGTGTTATTGAAATGACACTTCCTCGGCTCAGGGTGAAGTACATGTAATTAGACTGCAATTTTCTGCATACTTCCTTTACATATAATCTATTTTTTAGCTACATGTATATAGCAAGAACTGTACGCTTTTTATCTAGATATTCCATAATACCCTTTTAATTTATCTAATTATGATATATAAATCAGTAATGAATAATGTAGGCCACATAACAGTATAGAAATTGTTTTGGTTTTGTTTGGTATAAGCTTAATATCTAATTAGGATGGACGTTAAGAAGTCAGACCTATTCCGTTTCAAAATGTCGGGCAAAATCAGCTTTAAACACTTCAATTTAAAAGAGATAATTTGTACCCGTGTCAGGTAGAAGAATTACATGTATATGCTTCATTGTGGCATAAATGTAATAAATGACAATAATCAATTGTTGGTTTGAAAAATAATTTAGTTTTGCTTATTGAAGTACAATGATGATAATGTGAATGTGAATCACATCACAGTTCTTCAAGAGAATAGAGAATGAAATGAAATGGGGTTTAACGTCCTACTGTTCTGCTCCGACTAGGCTAATGAAGATGGGCATACGCCATATAGTGTGCTATGAGTGAAATTTTGCCTGGACAACGGCACTACAACCTACTCTTATATCGAATTCCATCTGTCAAGGGATCTTTTACATGCACGCCATTGTGTAAGCGGGGCCTCGGTTTTCATACCATCCGAACGACTAGACAGCTATCCTTGTCAGGCCCTCCGTTATGCATCACTGACAAGGGGGAACGACGCCGGAAAATCTGGATGAACTTTGATTGTTCTTTCTCAGCCAATGGAATACTGAATAGAGAAGGAACTACATTTTATTTTTTGTACACTCACAGGGTCGAGAGATGAGGTTTGTTATCTACGGCTATTCATTAGCCCTGTTGGTGCTGGAAAGTAAGACGTTACTACCCATTTCAGTCATCAGTCATTACAAAACAAAACAAACAAAAAAAAAACCGTGCATGGGTCGCGGATGCGTGAAATGGTTAGCCTTCAAAAAAAAATATCCAAGTAGAGTCTAGACTAATTTACCCAGAACACAAATATTATAATCAACGTGTGTACAATTCCGGTATAAAATAAAACCATCTGCTAGATTTTGTAAAGCTGGGAATTAATCTGCATATTCTTACTTTTGTTTAACCAAAATGGGAGAGAATTTTTGTAGACGCCATTTTCATTTGGTTCGGGCGGAATGGTGTCACAACTGGGTGAATATAAGATTTGGACGAGGATCTTGTCTACCCGAGTAACTTTTTTAAAAACCCCCACACAAAACCACACATGGGTAGATGAATATATGAAGTTTATTATGGCCTAAAAATTAATGGAAACACCAAAAAAATGATATTCATCTCATTTAAAGTATCTATAAGTCTCTCTAACTCAATATCATCCAAAACCTTCGACAATGAAAACACGAATTATTTGTCAGTTTTAATCAACATTGGTGTTGTGATTTATCTTATCTGGAGAGCATGCACAATAAATACTATCGATGTAGACTGGAATAACCAGACGCTAGAGACTACCATTGGATTGAGACTTCTGGCGTATTTCGCCGAACATAACTGATTTGAAATTAGAGTAAAAATGGAAAAGATTGAATGTAAAAATGAGTTTATTTACACTCATATTACATTATTATATACGTTGAGACCCATTTGTGTCAATTTCTAGGTCCCAAATATTACCGATTTAGCTCCTTTAAATGTAATTTATGAAACAAACTTGTTTTTGTTTTTTTGTTTTTTTTCGCTTGATATTAAAGATGGGTATTTTGCCCGGGCAGCGGCACTATCGCCTACTCTTATATCGAATTCCAACTGCCAAGGGATCCTTTACGTGCATTCCAATGTATACAGGGGACCTCGGTTTTTCGTCTCATCCGAAGGACTAGACAGCTGTCCTTGTCAGGACCTACGTTCTGCACCATTGACAAGGGGGAAACCACGTCGGAAAATCCAGATGAACTTTCTCGGCCAATGCAGGGATCGAACACCCGACCTCCAGGCTAGCGAGCCAGCGTCTTAACCACCTAGCCACCATGGCTCCCTTTTACCATTGGTACACGAATCATGTACCATAATGCATTTCAGCGCAATTTGTAACAAGGGACTAGATTTTAATACTGAAGTTGTTAGTTTTTATGGACTGAGTTTATTTGCGTACAACATTCACACATAATATATATCTATTTCAGGGCCCTGTTTCACGAAATTTTAACTAAAGATAAAATCCAAATTTTAGTAGATACTTCAACTTTGATTGGCTAAGCACTAAAATCAATCTAATATTATCCAATCAAATTACTAAAATTTGGATTTTATCTTAGTTAAAATTTCGTGAAACAGGCCCCAGGTTGTTAGGTTGATTAGCTAAACTAACTGAGTATTTAAAACCCTACTTGGGGTAAGTTAGTTTAGAGTGTTAGTGTAAATATAGAGTATTTTAGTTAAAGTACCGGTACCATGTATATTATGTGTTGCAAATAGTTATTCACTTTGTAGCTGAGATTTATTTCTATGCTATAGTAATGATGTTAGTTAATGATCTTTGCATTTAGATATTGCCTTTTGTATTGTAAAACTATATATTGAATTGTATATTTGCAGGGTTTTTATTGCTTGCCTAGTTTATTTGAATTGAACCCGTTCTGGATTGTGTCTTACAACAACCCACAGATACCCGCTACAACATAATACAAAGAGACAAAATAAGGTATATCATGCGCCTTAAAATACAAGGTCCATAGCTATATCAAAAGATGCGCGTGCTTTTGTCATTCAAGGGAGACTAATCTGTTTCCAGCACCTTTAAATTGTTTTTTTTTTTAATTTTTTGACTGGTCTTTATAACAGTCCATTCAATTTATGGTGCTATTTATACAGCGAGGTCTGCTGTTTCAACTTTAATTTTTAATGAGGTTCCGTTTACATATTGGCGTGCACGTAAAAGATCCCTTAGCATTTGGAATTCGATATAAGAATAACCGTAGCGCCGCAGCCCTGGAACACTTTCACTTATGCACACTGTGTGGCGTTAATAAACTGGTCTTCATTAGCCCGGCCGCAGCAGAACATTAAGACGTTATCCCCATTCCGTGTACACATTGGCGTGCATGTAAAAGATCCCTTGGCATTTGGAAGTCGATATAAGAGTAGGCCGTAGCGCCGCAGCCTGGACACACTTTCACTAATAGCACACTGTGTGGCGTTAATAAACCTGTCTTCGTTATCCCAGTCGGAACAGAACAGTAAGACGTTAACCCCATTTCATTTAATTTCCCTACTGATTTCCACTGATGGCTTCCAGATTAAATTTCACAACCAGATTAATATTTCTATAATAATCAGAATCAATTTTAGCTGTCTTTGTTTTATTTCGTTAAATGAATTTAGGGAAAATAAAAAAAAAACAATCGAGAATTGCAACACGAGTGACCGGAGCGTTTGTCGCTGTTAGCATACTCAAGGCCAATACGCTAACCATTACTAGGAACCCTATTGACATAGTAACTTAAAGTTAAGCTTAAAATAAACTTTTTAGACTGGTGCCACGGCTGGTGTTTAAACCTTGATCATCTTTTTGCTGGAGGGATGGCGCCAGTTCTTAATTGCTATACCTTCCGGTTTAGCGAACTGGATCGAATGAAACTTAGTGAACAGAATCGAATGAAACTTGGCATATACCCGTTGTAAGGAATACATGTACCAGTCCCTTTTGATACCTTACTCGTAGGTCGCTTAGTTCTTGGTCGTGGCTATGTTCATGTTCGAGAATTAATCATAAGCTTTCCTACCCTTCCTGCACGTTTCTGCACCACCACCACCCTTTGTAACGAAGACCGACCGCCCGACCAAAATGAAGGACGTGGGGTGCGAATACACCCAACTACAATGAAGTAAAAATGAAACAACATAAGTTCTAGCTATACAACAATTGCTAAATTTATGCGATTCTAGACAGGCTAGACTCGAGCTGGTCAATCATTGTGTTCTACCACTTGTGGTGTGGGTAGGATTAGAATCCAGTTCTGTCAGTCCTCCTTTTCTTGAAAACTAAGCCACCTGTCCGGCCTTCGCGTCATGGGATCCCAGCCCGTCCTTGTTCTGTTTGAGGATCCTGTGACAGTCAGGGTATTCGACCCCCCAGCTGTTATTTGGGGCCTAGTCCGGGCCTCTAGAATGCCACAGTGATCATACTTGCGATTATTTGCCAATCTCTGTTTCTGTGTTTGAGCAACGTGATCTCCAGTTACCTCACATATTCACCAAAATGACGCTAGATAGAGGAATGGACAGAGGGACTGGGGAGACGGGCGTATGGACTCACCCGAGTTCAGCCGCTGCCTAGCGTGCCCCTCATCTGAATTCAGCACAGGATCTCGTGGTCTTAAACACCATAAATCAGACCCAGGTTTTTACCCGGTCTAAACAAACCAATATCAATACACAGGTTTTAAACACACAACATGTTGTCTCCACTGTGGACAGCCCCCGCCCCCACCCCACCCCTGCTCGAGGCTCGGAGATTGCAAGGGAGTAGCCTGAGGTATATCTTCATCTAAATTTGGCACTGAATATATCTTAGGATCTTCATCACCCAAGATCAATACCAGGGTTTTAAAAACACAACACACATGTTGTCTCCACCGTGGACACCCCCCTGCCCCCTCCCCCTTCTCGAGGCTCGAAGATTGCAAGGGAATAGTCTAGGGCATCGATCTCTCCATCGAACTTTGACACTGTATATATTCCAGCATCTAAACCACTCAAGATCAATACCTGGGGCCCGTTTCACGCAATTTTAACTAAGATAAAATCCAAATTTTAGTAATTTGATTGGATAATATTAGATTGATTTTAGTGCTTATCCAATCAAAATTGAAGTATCTACTAAAATTGGATTTTATCTTTCGTTAAGATTTCGAGAAACAGGGCCCAGGGTTTTAAACAGAACACGCATATCAAGAAATAGTTTTAAGTACAGAATCATACAATTTTACAAATCAACAAATGCACACTAGCGTATATGTCTACACATATAATAAGGACTTGTTTAAATTAAAGATGCAGTATGTAAGACCTAAATCTGCCTATTGAAGGTCTGTCCTTTGGTCTTGAATGTTATATAAATTATTAATTAGACATTTGTCTACACGCCAAGCCCATACTCAACTCTCAAGATCATAAGATGGTTGTGATTTTTAATGAAATGAAACACGATGGCCATTTAATAGTTTAATTTACAAATGGATAACCAAGACTATGTTTATTATCGTAACAATGGTAGCAATGAAAATCAGCTATTCTCATAAAAACTTCAAATATCGATAACTTTATTCCGAATAAAGTAATTTGACTAAACTTTTCAAAATATTCTCTTTTCATTATCTGTTTTTCAACTATAATAGTGAGAACTGTTAGCTCTTTATGTAAATCTTACATAATGCATCTTTAATAATATTGAAGCCCGGAACACTTATTTATTTTATGGACAATTTTAACTGAACTTAAATTAAGTCCATGATAGAGTATTGGAGATAGAGAAATGGGATTTAATGCTCGTTTGACACAAACTAGGTCATTTTGGGACTGACGTATGGTTCAATGTTATTTCAATAATTCGCTTGCACGTAGGGGTCTTTAGCAGTTGGAGGAAACTGGAGGACCTAGAAAAAGTCCACGAGATTTGGCAGGCGACCCTACTCCTTGTCACATACCAGCGGGGAATCAAAACCACTCCATTTGACTCAATGACAGACCTTCTGATCCAAAGCGCACGTGTTAACCATTCGGCCACCAATCCCCCAGGCATGCAGGATATATAAGTATAACATATTATACTTACAGTATAAATGAAATGAAATGGGGTTTAACGTCCTACTGTTCTGCTCCTAATCTGGGCTAATGAAGACGGACATACGCCATACAGTGTGCTATGGGGGAAATTTTTTCCCAGGCAGCGGCGCTACGGCCTACTCTTATATCGAATTCCAACTGCCAAAGGATCTTTTACGTGCACGCCAATGTGTACACGGGACCTCGGTTTTTCGTCTCATCCGAACGACTAGACAGCTGTCCTTGTCAGGCCCTCCATCCTGCATCACTGACGAGAGGAAACCACGGCGGAAAATCTGAAAGAACTTTCTCGGCCAATGCAGGGATCAAACACCCGACCTCCAGGCTAGCGAGCCAGCGTCTTACTCACTTAGCCACGTGATCCCCCATATTTACAGTATAAAGGAGATATTAAAATAAAATACAAACAAGATACTGAACTATCACTCAGATCAGTATAAAATATAATAATGTATAAAAACAATATTTAGAATTAGAATCTGATCTGTTACTTAAAGATGCATTATGTAAGATTTAAATAAAGAGCTGACAGTCCGCGCTATGTTCAAACCAGATAATGAAAAATGAATATATGGAAAATTTTCTTCAAATTACTGTATTCAGAGCGAACTTATGAGTGATTGAAAATTTGACTAGAAGTAACGCAGATTTTTCATTATCTCCAAATATCTCGACAATTACACCACAATATCTATATATACACCAAGCCTTAAATCAGTTTCAAACATTTATAGTCACTAATCATCCATAAATATTACACTGAAAGATGGTTCCGAATGTCGGCCATAACATCCTAGCACATGTGAGTAAAAAATAGGCTACGTGCCCTTGTTTTGAAAGTAGTCTCGCTTATCCAGTCTACCGACCATTCTATGTTTGATTAACAGGCCGGGATAATCCAGACTACTTTTTTACGAAACATAACAGAAAGCTGGACCAATAAATTGAATTTAGAAACACGCACGTTGGGCAACTCAACAATTGTTATAAGAACCTTGTAAAAGTAAAATGAAACTACTGCTAGTATCATGTTCTTGCCAAACGCAAGTATTTCATAGATATTATTTGTACTAAACCAAAAGATGCCACTCCTAATGGTACAGTTAATGATAAAGCAATTTAAAAAAATAAAACAAACGTAATTTCTAAAGCTGCTGTAATAGCCAATAAGCTAAATATTACTGGTATTCAGAATCGTCAACAATAGATATTTTACAGCTGTAATAGTTGATAGATGTGCATCCCCCCACCCTATATGTATTTTATCTATATCTAATTTATTTTATCTCTTTTTTATTTTATCTATCTTTTAAAATATTTTATCTCTTTTTTTATTTTATCTATCTTTTAAAATATTTTATCTGGTTTTTTTTTTAAATATCAGAGGTGCAGGGCAAGGGCAGCTGTCTAGTCGTTCAGATGGGACGAAAAACCGAGGTCCCGTGTACATATTGGCATGCACGTAAAAGATCCACAGGTAGTTATCACTGTAGGACGTTAAACCCCATTTGATTTCCGCTCATCTAAATCCTGCGCCGATTCCAAGGAATTTTCTCAGCAAACCCTGAGATTGAACCAACAACCCCGCCCTCGCCCCCACCGCGGTTACTTAGTCAGTGCCTTCCTCATACGGTATTATATTTTTTTTTATTCAGTCAACCCTGGTCAAAACCTTCTGATGACTTCAAAGACAAAGTCTGTGGAATATTTCCTTGTGATCTGTTAAAAGATGATATATTTGGAACGAGTTACTTCCCCTTGTTTGATGTCATCACAACAAGTTTGTGTATGGAAGTTGCTGCTCCAGATGTAGGCACGTACGGAACGATTGCCAAGAAAATATCCAAATATCTTAAAGTTGGTGGACATTTGGTTATTGTTGGTGTACTGGCCGAAAACTATTATTTTGTCGGGGAATATAAATTCTTTAACTTAGCTATTACAGAAGAGGAAGTGAAATCATGTTGGGAAGGTGCTGGGTTTTCAATACACAGCTGGAATCTTATGAAACGACCAGACCCAAGTCAATACTCTGATTTTGGTGGCGCTTTTGTTATGCATTGTTTTAAGGAATTTTAATTGGTAAGCATCAATCTGATTAAATCACAGATCCTATTTTGTTTCGTTTTTTTATACATGTAGTTCAAAATTTCTTGTCTTTACTACACTAAGATCTGGAAGTTGTGTTATATTACCAGCGTTCTGGTTTCGATTCCCCGGTTGTACGTGACAAGGTGTAAGGTCGCCTGTCCAACCTCTGGTTTCCCCCCACTGCTAAAGACCCCTATGCCCAAGCGAATTATTGAAATAAAATTGAACCATATGTTAGTCCCGGAATGACCTGGTTTGTGTTGAGTGGAGGTTAAGCCTCATTTCTCTCTCTCTTCCTCCTCCAGAATACCCACAAGAATATTAATTAATATATTATGTTTTTATTGAATAAGAATTAAAATATAAACACATAATTTTAAAAACTTTTATATATCATGCTAGATCTACATAAAATATTTATATCGGTAATATAATAAATTTTATATACAATATATACATACAGTTTATTTATTTGTTTAGTTTTAAAATTCTTACTTGAATTCTTACATCATTTCAAGCTATTTATTCACTGCACATGAAACATTGTTATATTTACAAATTGAAATAAATGTTTGCATGTAAATTCTCAAGACAAAACAAACATTAAAACAGTTTAATAACATTAATAGGTCCCAATTGAAAAAAAAGTAATTTAATAATATTGTATAGAGCGGCAATACTATAGACTGGAAAACAACCCGAAAACACCGGAAAACAACCCGAAAACACCATTTTATACTGAATACCGGAAAACGCTGGAAAAACACTAAATACCGGAAAACACACTAAAAACACTGGAAAATATCCTAAATAGGTAACCCGGAGACTGGCACCCTAAATAGATAACCGGGGGCCTGGTCCTCTGTGTGCCTGGGTTAGGGTTAGGGTTAGTTTCCGGTTTATAGTATAGCCCTTCTCCGGGTTACCTATTTAGGGTGGTTTCCGGTATTTAGTGTGTTTTCCGGTATTTAGTGTTTTTCCTGTGTTTTCCGGTATTCAGTATAACATGGTGTTTTCCGGTTGTTTTCCAGTATATTGTATAGCCTGTATAGAGTAATAAACCAATTTTGCTATTTCAAAAATTTTCTTATCAGACATTTTTACCAAAAGTTAAGAGGCATAACTCTTATTGTTATTTAAGCAGGCGGTTTCAGATCACAATTAAAATTCATGTGTCAACAAAATATTCAAATTCGTATGTAGTAAACTATATACATACTTAACGTAAAATCAGTAGAGGTTTTCATAAACATGTGTTCTAGTTCTTTAAGTAATTTAATATTCCTATCAACTGCCAAGTTCAGGGCAGAAGTTATTCACAATTCAATATCTTTTGTTGAAGATAAAATACTAGTAGGCCTAGCTACTGATAAGCAATTAAAATATTTTCAAAGCCTTTGAAAAGATTTAGAAAAATTTTCTGTACAGCAAATTTTGATTGGTAGGTTAATTTACAGACGACCAATCATAAGCTGTGCATTTCTGATTGTGTACCCTAAAGAAATGTTTGAATAATTTTAATTTAAAAAATGTTTGAATAATATATTTATTTAAAAAAAAAATCTTTGTATAATTTTAATTAAAAGAATATTTGAACAATTGTAATTAGGCAGATTTTGATTGGTAGGTCAATCTACTAATGACCAATCATAATCTGCGTATTTCTGATTGTGTACCCTAAATAAATCTTTAAATTATTTTAATTAGACTGTAAGAGTATAAACATAGTAATTAAGGTGATTATTTGGTATTGTAAAACATCTAATAAATAATAATTGGATTAAATATTGCACAAATATCAAAAAGAGAAAATAATCATCACAAGAGACATTGTAGGGTTTTTTATATACAGGGTGTCTCCACAAAAATATGTCCCCAGACACCTGTTCAACGGTAGGTGGGTATGTGGGGGTGGGGGTGGAGGCATTCATTGAGATAGCGTCAAACAAACAAATGTGGGAATCATTCCGGACATTTTGGCTTCACTCCACGCTAATACTACATGCACCTGAATGAGCAGAAATATTGTCCCAAGAACTTCTCACTTTATATAATTCTCGGGTTTATACTCCCAGACCACACGCCAAATATGATGTCTTCATCTTGGACCCTATATTTCCCAGGTCTTTAGATTCCTTATAAAAATCCCTGCATCAGCCCCATCTTATATGTGACATAATTATTTTTGGGGGATACCCTATATGTATAATTACACAGCAGATATACAATATATATTTATACAACATACAATGTTAACAGAATATAGGTCCAATATATATAGAAATTAAAACCAAATTCAGAAGATACGGGGGGAAGACAGGTGAATAAACTAATACATTGTGTTTTTAGTTTAAAAAATGCCATGGGTATATGCCTTCGTGGTCCCAGTTTTTGCCTTGGTTTCTTAATCATATTTAGAGCTTTAATTATGATAGTTCAAAAGAATAGTCCTGTTTTTGCACAGTGTATCCCCTCAAACTATTCCCAAACTTAAACAGTACTTGCATTTAATAATTGTGATTGATTAATTGGTTTGAATACTAGTATACTGGGCCCTTTTCAAGAATTATTTCAAATTATAAGAATACAGGCTTTTCCATTGGCCTAGCCCTAGAGCTAAAACTTGAGTTTATTTTTCAGTTTTCAGCGAATGAAGCAACAGTAATCTTACTTTAAGGTTTTATGAATAGGGCTCTTGGTATTGGTTATACTCATTTTCATTTAAATAAAACTGGCCTCAAATCCTTCTCGATTAACAGTTCTACTGTTAACCCTACTATATTCCACTATAAATAAAATGCAATCTGATTAAAATACAAATCTAGAATTTGTTTCATTTATTTATACTTTCGATGGCCTCCACAGAAGCAAAACAAAATTTTGGACTATAAAAAACGAAACGAAATAGATTGAAATAAATGCTAAATTCTCTCAAGCATATAATTAGGTCATTTATTTGACTCTTGACTCACTAAAATTATTTCTTAACTATTATTTCTAATGAACAGGAAAAATTAAATTAAAAATTCAAATTGCCTAAAACTTTGACATTTTAAATGACCTGGAAAAATCAAATAATACAATCAAATTGCCAAAAGTATGACATTTTTAATGAATAGAAGACATCAAATCACAAACTCAAATTGCCAAATGTATGTCATTTTTAGTGAATAGAAGAATCAAATCATAAACTCAAATTATCTAAAGGTATGACATTTCAAATGAACAAGAAAAATCAAATAATACACTTAAATATTTCTTAAAATTCCAACCCTCATTGATTTTCATGAAAGATCTTTTTCAAATACAAAACAATTTGATTAAAACACAGATCTTATTTCGTTTCTTTTTTTTTTATAGTTCAAAATTTCTTTTTTTACTTGTCTTGACTACACTAGGACCTTGAAGAGTTGTTATATAACCTGCGTTCTGATTGTTGTGAGGGATCAGCCAATGAAACGGTCTGTTACGACGAAATCTTGGTGTGTTGTGCACGGAACTGTGGGTAAACCATTAGAAACATCAATGCTGATTGATTAATCAATGTCTGACGTCATAGGGTCAAGAGCCGCTCGTATAAACCCTGACGCGACCTTCCACTACAACTGGTCAGATCTTCATGTAGTAGAGGCCATCGAAAGCATAAAAAAACGAAACAAAATATAGATTTGTATTTTAATCAGATGGAATACAAAATAGCACATAATATGATGCAGAGTTTTTGGGGGTTTTCTTTAAAAAAAAACAACATAAATCAAAATGCAACAAAGTAGGTAATGCTCAGAATATACAATGTATATCAAATCTTACGAAGAGATCGTAAATTACAATAAGCAAAGAAAAAAAGACAGGAATACAGAGTTAAGAAAAGAAGCCTAGTTAATGCTGAGAACTTGTATTAAATCTTAGAAAGAGATCGGAAAATACAATAAGGAAAGGAAAGAAAAGGGGGCAGGAATAAGGAGTGATGGAAAGAAAGATTTGAAAGAAATGAAAGAAGAGGGTAAAGCAGGAGATTATATTTCATAATTAATCATATTGAGAATTAGCATTGATTATATATCTTTAAGGTGGCTGGATGTCAACATTACATCTCTCTGCTAAACAGGCTCTTAGAACTCAACTCGCTGATAACCATGCTCTTAGAACTCAACTCTTTGATAAATGAGCTCGTCCAACTCAACTAGCTGATAAACATGCTCTTAGAACTCATCTCGTTGATAAACATGCTCTTCCAACTCAACTCACTGATAAACAAGCTCTTCCAACGCAACTAGCTGATAAACATGCTCTTCCAACTCAACTCGTTGATAAACATGCTCTTCCAACTTAACTAGCTGATAAACATGCTCTTAGAACTCAACTCGCTGATAAACGAGCCCGTCCAACTTAACTAGCTGATAAACAGGCTCTTAGAACTCAACTTGTTGATAAACGAGCTCATCCAACTCAACTCGCTGATAAACATGCTCTTTGAACTCAACTCGTTGATAAACATGCTCTTCCAACTCAACTCGCTGATAAACGAGCTCTTCCAACTCAACTCGCTGATAAACATGCTCTTAGAACTCAACTCACTGATAACCATGCTCTTAGAACTTAACTCGTTGATAAACGAGCTCTTCCAACTCAACTCGCTGATAAACGAGCTCTTCCAACTCAACTCACTGATAAACATGTTTTTCCTACTCAACTCAAATTCTCTGATAACAAATGTCAACAAACATCCTCTTACAAATCAACTCAATAACTGTTTAAAGGGTGTGTGGCTCTATTCTTTGTGACCCCAAAATAGATGAAAACCTAAAACATTCTACTGATGTCGTCTTAAAGGGCGTACAGTTTTATTCTTTAGAACATTAATATAGACGATAATGTGTATGAAAGCACATATTAATGTAATATGAATTATTATTTTGTTGTTTCTGAATTGGGCAGTACTTCCGTTTGGTCTTGTAGGATATGTTTTTATTTCTAAATTACAAATGGCACCCGGAACCATAGAATACACCACAAATGTACTGATTATTAGGATCCCATATTTTTATGGCAAGATAATTAATATTGATTGAAATGGACCAATATTGAATTCTAATCCATGTATTTTAATTTCGAATATTATAGATATAAGATATTAGGATTCTATAGTTTCACGACAAGATAACAACATCAAAACTGATTGAAATTGACCAATATTGAATTCTAATCCATGTTTTTTAATTTCGAATATTATGGATAATATTGAATTAGAGGTTAAGCTCCTTTAAAACTGGCATCATGTTAAAGGTTATAGTGTGTCAGATCATAACCATTTGTTACATTGAGTTGTAAGGATGACAAACTGCCACCTTTAAACTTATTAAAATAATATATTTTATACATATCACAATACATAGATAGACATTAAAAATAACAATATAATATAGTCATTTGTAAAAGTTTAAAACCACCGAGCATTGGTTTTTGGCAGGGGTGGTGGGGGTGTCATACATTGTATTGCGTCAGTTAAGATCAAGCAACAGAAGTGATTGCATCAGACGAACAAGGTATTATGTATACGCTCATTCTACACAATGTACACTGACAACAATCTACTCTGCTTTGAGAATAGATCTCTGCTCTAAATGGCCGCCATATCCAACAATTATTATACTGTTTTGTAATGCGGACCTACTCCGATTCACATCTGAAATGAAATGAAATGGGGTTTAACGTCCTGGGCTAATGAAGACGGGCATACGCCATACAGTGTGCTATGAGGGAAATTTTGCCCGGACAGCGGCACTACGGCCTACTCTTATATCGAATTCCAACTGCCAAGGGATCTTTTACGTGCACGCCAATGTGTACACGGGACCTCGGTTTTTCGTCCCATCCGAACGACTAGACAGCTTTCCTTGTCAGCCCCTCCGTCCTGCATCACTGACAAGGGAGAACCACGCCGGAAAATCTGGATGAACTTTCTCGGCCAATGCAGGGATCGAACACCCGACCTCCAGGCTAGCGAGCTAGCGTCTTACCCACTTAGCCACGTGATCCCCCCGATTCACATCTGTTATATAAAAAATTCTAATTAAAACTTTTCAATTTTATTAAAGGAAAGCAGAATATATACTTCTCAAAATTCTCAAATTATACTTAAGAGTTTTTGACTAAAATCGCTGATATAGGACTTAAAATGTCGGTTATCTAGCTTAGTGTCTGTTCTCAAGCGGAGCTAATTGTAGACAAACAGCATACGTTTAGTATGAAATGCGATTTCAGGCCCATAGTGTGTTTCACTTGCTTATTGTTTTTCTGTGAGCAAGACGATTTTTTCAAAATTTAAGCAATCAAAAAAATGAGCAAAAAACTGACGAAATAGGGGAAAAACCCCAATAAAAAACCTTGTTGGTGATATTAAAACTTTCGCAAATGACTAAGTTAACATAATAAGATTTGAACATATATCACAAACTAATTATGACTATGTAATTAAAAATATATAGGTAAAATTACCATAGGCCAAACCAATCTAATATTTAGTTTATTGAGGTCTTATTTAATTAATAACCCACTGGTTCTTGTCTATGAGGTTTTGTTAAAAACTTTTGAACAGCACAACAAAGTACTTTGGGTTTTTAAATTCATCTCCCCCCAACATCCCCCATCCCACCCTCCTCCAAATAAAATGCAAAATTTTAACAGGTGCTCCCAAAGAACGGGAAATCGAATTGGTGGCCTTAAATAACATTTTATATATATACATATGTACAATGATGTTATACCCTTCTCTATCCATTCTCAAAACATCCAACGTCACTCAAGTACTCTGGGTTCAATAACAACAAAATCATTTGTTTTTGGTAATTTGTTTGACAATCTATCAACTAGTCAAACTGATCTGCAGTTAATATTTGTTTACAGTTTGTCAATTCCAATGTCTTAGTTAAAGACATGTTTATCCAGACACTTGTTGATTGCTAGTCAAGATCAAGATGCATGTATCCAACTCCACATGATAACCGGATGTTGGTATTCCCTTGAAAACATATCACAGTGGTTCTGATAGTTGCTTGGGAATAGTTTAAAGGCCTTTCACACAGAAATAAGCATTTAAAGTAATTCGGATCTGTCAAAAAGTTCTCGGAACTTTATCCACAATAAATGATTTTGTTGGCATTATCCCAGAGGTTGAATGTTTTTTTGATGATATTATATATCAACTACTTCAAACCTCTTGACTTTATCTTAGAACCATATCCACAATCACAACAAAGTTCTCAGAACTTTATTCACAATAAATGATTTTGTTGGTATTATCCCAGAGGTTGAATGTTTTTTTGATGATATTATATATCAACTACTTCAAACTTCTCAACTTTATCTTAGAACCATATCCACAATCACAACAAACTTCTTACCCCTTAACGAGCTAGGATTCATCCATCAAAAATTCAATCATTGCAATTATTCATCTTTTGACAGAAAGAATATTTCTAGCCCTTTCCTTAAAAGCTAACTTTAAATCAAAGAAATCAATCTTTTCATGTATTATTCTCCTCGATAAATTTCCGTCACATATTAAATAGCTTTGAATTAAGTGTAAAATTTTCTTAATAAATAAACCGTCTTCATTAGCCCAGTTCGAAGCAGAACAGTAGGACGTTAAACCCCATTTCATTTCATTTCATTTCTTAATAAATAAACAAATGGAATGACGGCAAACTGAGCACAAAAAATTTTATACCTAGATCAAAAATCCAGTTATTTTGATAGTTTTCTTCAAATAGCAATTTTATCATAAAGTCTGTCATTGAGTCGACTGGTGTGGTTTCGAATCCCCGGTTGTACATGACAAGGCGTAGGGTCGCCTGTCCAACCTCGTGAGTTTTCTCTGGGTCCTCCGGTTTCCTCCCACTGCTAAAGATTCCCTATGCGCAAGCGAATTAGTGAAATAAAATTAAACCATATGTTAGTCCCGAAATGACCTAGTTTGTGTCGAGTGGACTTAATCTCTCTCTCTCTCTCTCTCTCAAATAGCAATTTATCCCAATGCCTCTCTCAAATAGCAATTTATCCCAATGCAGTTTTTTTTGGATTTCAGTTTTCATTTTAATTCAGAAGAAACATTCCTGGAATCAAAGTAAAACCTAATTGACCTTTCTATATATATAGAGAGAGAAATGAGGTTTAACATCCACTCGACACAAACTAGGTCATTTCGGGACTAACATATGGTTCAATTTTATTTCAACAGCGGGATTTAACAGGAGGACCCAGAGAAAACCCACGAGGTTGGACAGGCGACTCTACTCCTTGTCACGTACAACTTATGAGTGATTGAAAATTTGACTAGAAGTAACGCAGATTTTTCATTATCGTAGCAATTATATTCAACATACGATTATCCATTTTATCGATAAATGTTTAAATTTCGCGGATATTCTAATTCAATTAAATTGGGGTCGTGCGATGATCTAGAGAGTGGATTATAGGTTTGCCATATGAATTACTGTCTAAATAATAGTTTATTTAATAAAGGCCGGCAATGGGCCGATTTTGCTCATACATAATGCATCTTTAAACTCTAATTTAATATAAAAGAGATATTATTAATATAATAAAATATCAATTAGAATCTAACCTCTAACTTAATATAAAAGAGATATCATTAATATAATATAAAACCCCATTTCAAATTAGAATCTCAACTCTCACTTAATATAAAAGAGATATCATTAATATAATGTAAAACCCAATTTGCAATTATTAGAATCTAAACTCTCACTTAACATAAAAGAGATATCATTAATATAATATAAAAACAATTTACAATTAGAATTTAAACTCTTCACTTAATATAAAAGAGATATCATTAATATAATATAAAACCCAATTTGCAATTATTAGAATATAAACTCTCACTTAATATAGAAGATATATCATTAATATAAAATACAACCCCATTTACAATTAGAATCTAACCTCTAACTTAATATAAAAGAGATATCATTAATATAATATAAAACCCCATTTTAAATTAGAATCTCAACTCTCACTTAATATAAAAGAGATATCATTAATATAATGTAAAACCCAATTTGCAATTAGAATCTAAACTCTCACTTAATATAGAAGATATATCATTAATATAAAATACAACCCCATTTACAATTAGAATCTAACCTCTAACTTAATATAAAAGAGATATCATTAATATAATATAAAACCCCATTTTAAATTAGAATCTCAACTCTCACTTAATATAAAAGAGATATCATTAATATAATGTAAAACCCAATTTGCAATTAGAATCTAAACTCTCACTTAATATAAAAGAGATATCATTAATATAATATAACCCCCGATTTACAATTAGAATCGAAACTCTAACTTAAAACAAAAGAGATATCATAAATATAATATAAAACCCCATTTACAATTAGAATCTAAACTCTAACTCAATATAAAAAAGATATTATTAAAATATAATGGAAAAACTATTAAAGATACTCGTGATCTTCACAAAAGTGCTTCACATTACAATCAAGGGCTTAAATATTTTAGGAATCCAGCTGTTTCACTGGATAAGGACTAACAATTTTACACCATCCATCTTCAATACAAGCCAAAATTATCGTATTTGATTGTAACAACATCAAGACGAATCATTTCTCACTCTTGCGTTATTATACCGCTGACGAATATGATATTTCTGTTACTATGTCAACTTTATTTACTTAATGTTTGTTTTAAAATATATATTTCCTCGACGGTCGAGATTGTATGTTCATCACCGTCGATAGAAAAAATATATTCAGCCAAAGGGAAACATATTTTGTCACCAAGATATTGTATAAGACACTTAAATTCAAACGAAGTGGCATTTAGTAGCTTCCAGTTTTCAAAGTTTTCCACGGGAACCGCCTGGACCCCTAGTTGACCATTGCGCTTTCTGCGCGCACGACATGCGACTTCGTCTCCCGTGCAAAACCCTTATCCATGTTCTCTGGATCCGCCCCTGTTGAGCAATGGCTGTTTTATCATTTTAATCGGTTTTCACTTATTATAAATGTTTATAGTTTTTATTAAAATAATCTTGTCTTTTTAGATTCCTGCTAATATCAATACTCTGTATAATTGCAGAAATACCAGCTGGGTGTGTGTGTGTTATACCTGATGGTACCTGTACAAGGAAAGCTGTATAGTCATTCGAATGGGACGAAATACTGAGTTCCTGTGTACACATTCGCACGCATATAAAAGACCCCTTGGTAGCTGGAATTCGATATAAGAGTAGGCCGTAGCACCGCGGTCCGGGCAAAATTTCCCTCATATCACACTGTATGGCGAGTGTCCGTCATCATTAGCTCAGTTGGAGCAGAACAGTAGGGCGATAATCCTCATTTCATTTCATTTCACACGGCTGTATGTTTAGGGTAACGATCATAGCTTTTAAAATGATTACGGTATCAAAATTCCTTATAATTCTGTAGTCGTAAAACCAAATCAATAGTTAGCAACAAGGAAATTGTTCACACCATCTCCGATTTCGATCAAACTTTATGTATATGGCTTCTGTACGTGCAAAAATTCAAATTTCAAAGTTTCAGCTATATCGAATTCACGGTTTCTTAGACATGGATATATCAGGGAAAGGGGGTAGGACAGTGTGGATGACAAGTAGTGAACTGGATGTGGGCGTGGCCTGCCTCTGTTTTTGTATGCCGTACCATCGCCATGATTGCTCTACAACTTGAAAACAAGTATGGCGATTATTTTGGGCGTTAATTATTTTTTATTTAATTATTTCTGTAGTTTTGTAATCGGAGTTCAGCTTTAAATCTTTATTAAAATCAATGAACTTTTGACCTTGATGTTGACCACCTGAATGAGGTGACCTTGACTTGACCTTCACCTCACCAACTAAAACATGCATGGAAACGAAAGGCAATACTTCTAATTGACTTCCCATACTCTTCCAGATATTATGGGTTAATTGATATAGAATGACCCTCCTTCAAAAAGATCACTGACTATATGTTTTCAAAAACTCACGCAAATCACTTACAAAACTTTTCTTAATCATTTTTTTCCGGAATTTAATTTTAGCACCGGCTTCTAAAAGCAATTTTACCTTTTCAACAGGATCAAAAAACGTTTTACAGCAATAATAAATAGGTTTATAGCCCTTTTTATCCTTTACCTTTACCTTGGCTCCTGCCTCAATCAGAATTTTAACATATTTTACATCGCCGAATTCAACACTATGATGTAATATGCTCTGTCCTTTCCTGTCCCTAGCATTTACATCTGCTCCTGCCTTAATCAGAATCTCAGTTATTTCTACACATATTATTCTATCAACAATTGAGCTTATACAAAACAATAATGGCGTCTCACCGTAACGATCTCTATCATTAACATGTAACCCCCCTTCTTTAATCAGCCACTTGACACATGGTATATCACCCAAATTACAGCTGATATGTAACAAACTTCTCCGTTTTTTATCCTTTACATTGATATCGGCTCCTTTTGAAATCAAGAATTGCATCTTTTCTATTCTATCAACAGCTGACTGTATACAATAAAATAAGGGCGTTTGACCGAAAACAGCTCTATCATTGACACCTAACCCTTCTTTAATCAGAATCTTGACACATGCTATATCACCCGACTGACAGCTAACATGTAAAGAACTGTTCTTGTCTTTATTCTTTACGTTAATATCGGCTCCGACTGAAATCAAGAATCGCATTTTTTCTATTCTATCAACTTTTGACTGTATACAACTAAATAAGGGCGTTTGACCGTAATCATCTCTATCATTGACACCTAACCCTTCTTTAATCAGCAACTTGACACATGCTATATCACCCCACTGACAGCTAGCATGTAACAAACTCCTCATGTCATGATCCTTTAAATTGATATCGGCTCCGACTGAAATTAAGAATCGCATCTTTTCTATTCTATCAACATTTGACTGTATACATTCAAATAAGGGCGTTTTACCGTAAAAATCTCTACCATTAACATTTATTCCTTGTTTAATCAGCAACTTGACACATGCTATATCACCCCACTGACAGCTAGCATGTAACAAACTCCTCATTTCATGATCCTTTAAATTGATATCGGCTCCGACTGAAATTAAGAATCGCATCTTTTCTATTCTATCAACATTTGACTGTATACAACTAAATAAGGGCGTTTGACCCTTAGCATATCTATCATTGACTTGTAACCCTTCTTTAATCAGCAACTTGACAAATGCTACATCACCCCACTGACAGCTAGCATGTAACAAACTCCTCATGTCATGATCCTTTAAATTGATATCGGCTCCGACTGAAATTAAGAATCGCATCTTTTCTATTCTATCAACATTTGACTGTATACATTCAAATAAGGGCGTTTTACCGTAAAAATCTCTACCATTAACATTTATTCCTTGTTTAATCAGCAACTTGACACATGCTATATCACCCCAAACACAACTTTCGTGTAACAAACTCCTCCATTCATCACCCTTTACATTGGTATCTGCTCCGACTGAAAGTAAGAATTGTATCTTTTCTATTCTATCAACATTTGACTGTATACAATAATATAAGGGCCTATAACCTTTATCATCTCTATCATTGACACCTAACCCTTCTTTAATCAGCAACTTGACACATGCTATATCACCCCACTGATAGCTTTCACGTAAAAAACTTCTCCCTTTATTATCCTTTACATTGATATCTGCTCCTTTTGAAATCAAGAATTGCATCTTTTCTATTCTATCAACATTTGACTGTATACAACTAAATAAGGGTGTTTGACCCTTAGCATCTCTATCATTGACTTGTAACCCTTCTTTAATCAGCAACTTGACGGATGCTACGTGACTATAGAGGCAGCTGTAATGTAAAGCATCTTTTCCTTCATAATCTTTAGCATTAAGATCAGCATGGTTTGTCAGAATGAGTTGTACCTTTTCAACCTGGTCTACAACTGATTGACAACAGTACATTAACGATGTTTTACCTCTATAATCAGTAATATCAAATTTAAAATTTATGTCAAATAAAAACTTAATAACCGACACAGGAGAATAAAGACAAACAGTAGAGAGAAATAAACTGACATTTGGATGAACGCTTAAATTTGTATGTGCCCCCTTATAGAATAATAATTCTGCCTTTTCTCTGGGTTTATAGATTGATATACATGCTTTATGCAAGGGCAATTCCCCTTCATCATTTAGTGTGTTGATCTTATCAAAATTCGTATCTAGAAATTTATCAAGTTCATGTACATCATCAAACCAAAGAACTGCTTCGTGAACTGGGAAGTCAACAACTTGTAATAAATTATTTATTAAAAAAACATGTTGTTTCATGTTAGTACAGGCTTCCTGTATGACCGACGTCCCTTTATTGTCTTTTATATTCACATTACACCCTTTTGATAACAAATATTCTGCAGTTTCTTTCTGACAGTTTGACAAGGCTTCAAGAATCGGAGTTCTTCCATTAGTATCTTTGTGGTTTATATCAGAACCATCATTAACCAATAAAGTAACAATATTCGCCTTATCAACATCTGAGCGACTGGCATTAGAACAACAACCCAAATGAATTGGTAAGCTACCTGAATTGTCCTCGATGTTGACATCAGATTTTAGTTTTAGTAGTAGAGCTGTGGTATTTGTTTTACCCTTTTTTACAGCATAATGAAGTGGTGTGAGGCCATCTTTATCCTTGACATTTATATCAATCCCTTCTTCATTTACTAGATATTTAACAATATCCGGTGCATCATATTCTGAGAGGCAGGCAGAATGAAGAACAGTTTGTAGATTTCTATTCAAAGATTTGATGTCAAATCTGTCATATTTGAGAACATGTGTTACGATATCAAGCTGTTTAGATTGAACGGCCATATGTAACACAGTATTTTTAAACAGATGTTTATATTTTACGACAAAAAGATCTAGTTTAGCAATAGCATCTACATCAGATATTGCTACAAGATCACATATGTTATAGCCATTTTGCGTTTCACTTTCTACATACGTTTCTGTGGCTGTCGATAGAACACGTTCAAGGCATGTCAAACTTCCATGCAAACAAATAAAATGCAAAAAGTTCCCAGCATCATTAAAATCTCCAACTATTCCAAATGGAATAGATGTACAGTGATTCGTGAGGTCATTATATTGTTCTAATTTAACAAGCATTGAAAGAAAACATTCATCTAAGAATGCTTGATGAAATACAACTTCGAAATTGCAATTTTTAAATTCATTAATAAAACGATCAGCAAGGTTTGGGTAGAAATCGATTGTTATTAAATCACATTGTTTACTTGTTACAGTTCGCTTGTTCGTTTCCGTTCTCATCATTTCCATTAAAAGTTGAAAAGGTGCGAATTTTATGGCAAGATCAGTAAACTTTGGAAACATGTGAATGAAAAATGCCTCATCAACAAACTTGCGAAAAATAAAACAGCTATTTTCATCACGTTTATAAAATGATTCTGACCAATTTTCAAAGACCTCCAAAGCTTCAATTAATCTGAAATTCCCCAAAACATCTTTTTGTATTCTACTCACTAGAGACTGAACATCCGATGATGAGCCTGATTGTAATGTTTTAACACTTAAAGGTCGAAGACTAAAAGCCAACAGAAAACATGCATATTTATCTTTATATTCTTTCCAAAACATCTCAAAGTTAGACAACAGAAAGTCATTGAGACTTGTAAATGCAAATATCTCAACTTGTTTGCATGTACTTAATAATTTGCTTAATAATTTAGCAATGCTTGGAAAACCAAAGGTAGTGGCACAAATTTCATTAATTGTTTGAATATCAGAATCTTGCAATTGTTTTGAGTGGTATTTAATAATTTTTTCCCTTTCTTGTCTATTTAAACAAATACTTTCTCTGTGCAAAAATATACAATATTCATTGGAAAAAATATCATAAATATTTCGGACATGTTTACAGTCATTATATATATAATCTCTTATGACATATATCAAGGCGGCGCGTCGCCTTTTAATATTTAAGTAAAGATTGTCGAAATTAACCTGAAATTGAGATATATTTACATTGGAGCGATCGAATCGTCCTAAAATATCGTCCATTATCAACAGCAAATTTCTCTTTTCGGAAAAAGAAATCTCATCAATATCACCGAGTTTTATCACCAAGGGTGCAAAGTCACAGTGATTTTCTAAAAAGTTGGCAGCTACCATGGAACTTAAAACAGATTTACCATCTCCTGTTGCACCGATAACTCCTAAGATGAAGTTGTTATTAAGTACTTTACAGCCTTCGCTGTAAGCTCTTGTCTCTGGATAACTATCTTCTTTAATTCCCTCTAACATAATTTTGGCAGTTTCTGTAAAAATGAAAAAAAGACAGGTTGCTAGGCAACGAAACATATACACACGGCAACAAGGGTTATCGCATATTTTTTATACGCCCACATTTTCATGTGGAAGTATATTGTCGTCGCCCCTGTCCGTCCGTCCGGACATCCACAATTATTTGTGAACACTCTACAGGTCACAATTTTTATCCGATTTCAATGAAACTTGAAATATGGATTTGTCACCCTACGATCTCGGATCATTTTGATATTGGCATGCATCGGACTGTAACTCCATGGATTATGGATTATGGCCTCTGATTGTACGAAAAATCACAATTATTTGTGAACACTCTACAGGTCACAATTTTTATCCGATTTCAATGAAACTTGAAATATGGATTTGTCACCCTACGATCTCGGATCATTTTGATATTGGCATGCATCGGACTGTAACTCCATGGATTATGGCCTCTGATTGTACGAAAAATCACGTTTGTAGCTTGTGAACATTGTAGAGATCACAATTTTTATCCAAACTTGAAATGTATGTTTATAACCCACAGATCTCGCTTCCTTTCGATATTCGTGCATATCGGACCATAACTTCCTGAATTATGGTCCCTGATTGTAAGGAAAATCGCATTTTTAGCTTGTAAACCCTATAAAGGTCACAATTTTTATCCGATTTAAACAAAACGTTCGAATATATCACCGTTACATCCTGAGTTCGAGTTCGAATTTCGTGAAAATCGGACCGAAACTGCTGGACAAAATGGCCGCCACTCGTTCGCAAATAGTGTCAAAATATTGTTTATCAGGGTTGTGGATCCTCTAAAGATCACAATTTTGATCCCATTTAATACAGGTTTATAGCCCAAAGATCTTGGTTCCTGTCGATATTCGTGCATATCGGACTGTAACTTCCTGAATTATGGCACGTTTTTAGCTTGTTCCTCTAGAGGTCACAATTTTTATCCGATTTAAAAAAACGACTGAATATATCATCTTTACACCCTACTGGTGGTTGACTTCAAATTTGGTGAAAAACGGACCGAAACTGCTGGACAAAATGGCCGTTGCTCGATCGCAAATAGTATAACCAGCGGCTGCCAGGCAGAATACGCCTACATTTTGCAAGAGATGCATAGAGAACAAGCTAAAACAAACAGGATTTTTTGTACAATTAGGGGCAATAATCCAGAAAGTTATGGTCTGAAATGTGCAAATATCAAAAGGCACTGCATGAGATCTTTGGGATATAAAGATATACTTTAAGTTTCATAAGAATCGGATAAAAATTGTGACCTCGAGAGGGTCGACATATTCCTGAAGCAATGGCCCGAGAAATCCCGTTCAATCAAACATAACAGCCCCTAAAACTTTGGACAGTGATTTAAGGTATTAAAAACGGTGAAAGTGTTGTTCGGCCCAAAACAGTATTGTTTACATTATATCCGTATGATAGCCTCGTTTGTCACACAATTAGTTTTTCTGCAATAGTCTGCTATGCACTGGTTAATTGGGCATATTAAAATCGTGAGTCATGATGTAACGTTATGTAAACATATTTGGTCCAATTTGGAGCTCTGTTTGGTATTGTTACGCAGTTAGCTATTGGTTGTTAATGGGACTATTGACCAGTCATAATTTAGAACAAGAATTTGCCTTCTTTACAGCAGTGAGAAGTGGGATTAGCTCTAATCAAACGAAACACTGCGAGGAGTATGGAGGGTCGACAACCTTCGTATTTTTACACAATTTGTGTACAAATGGCGCCCATTTTGTTGGGCAGTTTCATTTCGATTTTCCCGAAATTCAAATTCAATCTTCATTATGGTGAAATATTTAACGGTTTTTAAATCGGAAATTTTTTTTTTTTGACCTCTAGAGAATCCGCAAGCTAAAAGTGCCATTTTTCGAACAATCAGGGGCCATAATCCAGGAAGTTAAGTTCGGGTATCCGCGATTATCAAAAGGATCCAAGATCTTATTGTGTAATTGTTTTTAAATCGGATAAAAATTATGACCGCTATAGAGTCCACAAGCTAAAAACGTGATTTTTCGCAAAATCAGGGGCCATAATTCAGGAAGTTACGGTCCGATATGCACGAATATCGAACGGAACCGAGATCTTTGGGTTATAAACTTGCATTTCAAGTTTCAACAAAATCGGATAAAAATTGTGACCTCTATAGGGTCCACAAACTACATTTCAAGTTTCATCAAAATCAGAAGAAAATTGGGACTTCTAGAGGGTCCACAACCTTGATATACCATATTTTTACGCTATTTGAGAACGAGAGGAGGCCATTTTGTCTGTCAGTATTGGGCCGATTTTCACGAAATTCGAACTCAACCATTCTTAGGGTGACAGTGATATATTAAAACTTTTTTTTTTAAATCGGATAAAAAATTTGACCTCTATAGGGTCTACAAGCCAAAAACGTGATTTTTCGTACAATCGGGGGCATAATTCAGGAAGTTACGGTCCGATATGCAACCGAGATCTTTGGGCTGTAAACTCACATCTCAAGTTTCAACTAAATGGGATAAAAATTGCGACGTCAATAGGGTCCACAAGCTAAAAACGCGATTTTTCATACAATCAGGGGCCATAATCCATGGAGTTACGGAGATAAACCTATATTTCAAGTTTCATTGAAATCGGATAAAAATTGTGACCTGTAGAGTGTCCACAAACAATTGTGGACAGACGGACATCCGAGCGGACAGACGACAATATACGTCCACATGAAAATGTGGGCGTATAAAAATATATGGTATGTCAGGGTTGTGGAGCCTCTAGATTTCATGATTTTGATCCGATTTTGATGGAACTGGAAACATATCTTTATGTCCCAAAGATTTTGGTTCCTTTCGCTATTTGCGCATATCAGATCGTAACTTCCTGGATTATGGCCCCAATTGTACGAAAAATCGCGTTTTTAGCTATTTGACCCTCTAGAGGTCATAATTTTTATCTGATTTTAAAACCCGTTTCAATATATCACCGTTGCACCATAATGATGGTTGAGTTTGAATTTCGTAAAAATTAGATTGAAACGGCCTGACAAAATGGTCGCTCTATGGAAGATTAGATAAAGAGGTGACAGTTCTCGCTATAATAGGTAAACACACCGTTGTCATGCAAAATACGCCCACATGTTGCACGAGATGGACAGAGAACAAGTTAAAAAAAAGCGATATTTCGTACAACCAGGGGAAATAATCCAATATGTTAGCGTATGACATGCGACATTATGGAAAGGAACCAAAATCTATGAGATATACACATATCTTTCAAGTTTAATCGAAATCAGATAATTATTGTGATCTCTAGAGGATTTACAAGCTAAGAGGGTGAATTTTTGTACAATCGGGGGCCAATATTGAAGGAATCGATGTTAACCCGCACACTGTTAGTTTAATAATTTAAACGAAACTAGAAAAATGGGAAGTGAAAAAGACTTTAGTAAAATTGCAAAAACAGATCATACATAAGCTTTGGTAGGGGATGGAGAAGCCAAATCCAGATGTAAGTGGTTAAGGGACGATTGTGGTCGTCTCTAACTATTTAATTATTGAACAATTACAAAACGCTTTCCCCAAAGCTGTTCACATTCTTCAAAAAACGCTTCCTGAGTCATGAGAGAGAGAGAGAGAGAGAGAGAGAGAGAGATGGGGTTTAACACTAACATATGCTTTATACAATTCGCTTGCGCGTAGGGGTCTTTAGCAGTGGGAGGAAACCGGAGGACCCGGAGAAAACCCACGAGTTTGGACAGGCGACCCTACTCCTTGTCACTTCCTACCAGGGATTCGAAATCACGCCAGTTGACTCAATGAAAGACCTTATGATACAGCGCTCACATGCTAACCATTTTCCTGGCATTATGAACAAATAGTATAACATTTTTTTGGTCAGTTTTAAAGTTTTAATATCCTACCTTCTGCTTTCAAGAGCTTTGGATTCTTGAATACAGCTTGTTTTGGGGATTTTGATTCTTGACGTGGGGCGCTACCTGGAATGAATATTATAAAAAGGAGAATTATTGTCACATTTTATTCTCACAGATTATTACCACATGTTAATATGGATTACTATCACATGTTAATATGGATTACTATCACATGTCAATATGGATTACTATCACATGTCAATATGGATTACTATCACATGTCAATATGGATTACTATCACATGTCAATATGGATTACTATCACATGTCAATATGGATTACTATCACATGTTAATATAATAGCAATCTGATTAAAACACAGATCCTATTTCGTTTCGTGTTTTATAGTTCAAAATTTCGTATGAAAAGTAAAAAATGTATAAAAGTATAAAAAAACGAAATATAGATCAGTATTCTAATCAGATTGATGTAATAGATTATTATCACATGTTAATATAATAGATTGTTATCACATGTTATTATAATGTTAATATAATAGATTATTTTCACGTGATTTTCTCCCATGATTCTAGCAATAGTGGACATTGAATCTATGTGTTTAAATTTCCACTGGGCCTTGTGACTAACCGAGCAATCCCCCCAAAAAGTATCGGACTGCAAGATTTGACAAGGGCAATCCCAAATGAATTGTGGGTACTTAAAACTGGAATACCAGAACTTTTAACAATATATCACCAACCTGATTCTAGTTGATCTGCAATGTCTGTACAATCTTCTTCCCTTAATGACTGCATCAATTTATACAATGTCCCTGGACCACAAAATAATAATATGTGAAGTAATTTACGGGTTGCAGTTTGTTTTTCTTCCGTACTTTCAATTTGTTCAAATTCCTCATCATCAATAACCTTTTTATTGTAAAGTCTGATTATTAAGGTCCAGGGATTTGTTATTGTATTAATCAGGTACGTAAAGTTTAGCTGAATTCGGTTGTACTCGATAGGAGGAACCTTCCCTCTAACACTTCCTTCATGAGTCTGAGGCACTAAAATGTAAAATAATTCTGTATTAGAATGTAATTAGTTGGTTTGAAAGATTTTTCTGTTTTACCATGAATTTAAATGTTATTCCCCGCTATCATATGGATTACGAATGCCACGAATCCAAACTTTTTCCGATTCGATGATAAATCATAGACGGTTTGTAAATGATGGGTTCTTTGTTTGTATGCCACCCTGACACTTGTACGATTTTTTTCACGGCAATACAGCGTAATGCGTTGTGGCAGGGCGTGCCATTTCGGTGGTAGCCGTGATTGTGCTCTGTTCGGCATTGTACACGCATTGTTCATCTTTGTCGCACAGATAGAGAATAATCAGATGAACAGAATTGGGTCCAGTAAAAATTACTGTATGAAACTATTTTAACAAACCATAAATACAGTATTTACTATTATAATCATACTACCCAGATTATAACATAGTAAATACAGTATATACCATTTTATTTTATGATCAGTAGAGGAATACCGCGTTTTATCAGTGAAATAAAAGTGTTATTCCACTGGCTAGCAGTAGGCCATGTTGTTTTTACCTACGCATTCGTGAAAATATAAGTTTTCTTGCTTCTCGATGAAATAAAATATGTTATTCACTCTAAAACGACAAATAATTATATCCTCTATATAATCATACTGCCCAGATTATAAAAAAAATAAATACAGTATATACTATTATAATCATACTGCCCAGATTATAAAAAAAATAAATACAGTATTTACCATTATAATCATACTGCCCAGATTATAAAATAATAAATACAGTATTTACCATTATAATCATACTGCCCAGATTATAAAATAATATATGTATAAAGTATAAATAAAGTATATAAACAGTTTCTTTACCATTTTCAAGTATTTCTACAGCTCTTGTAAATCCCTCTTCTTGTAAAGATTCTATAAATAGCCTATACGCATGCTCTCCACAGTGTAACAGAATCATTAACATTTTACGCACCACAGCGCTTCTGCCATTTTCTTTCTGCTTGTTGATTGTCTCTATGTCGTCATCGTTGAATACACCTTTACTAAACAGGCGGTCTATCAGCTTATCTGGTATTAAGTTGCGAACCAGAAAGGGTAAGTTTTCCCTGATGTTGGTGTAATCATTCTCGAGCATTGGGCCACCTTGTCTAACCAGATATGAACACCCTCTGACCGACTCTACAATAAAATAAATAATAAATTGGACGCGTTCGAAATTAAATTTATATACGCTCCTATAAAAAAGATATAATAATTTGCTGGTGAATATGTCCTTTTCTAAAGATTCTAGTCCAGCATAGCGTGAAATACGCCCACACAACAACTTTGTCGCAACTGCAGCATATCAGAAAGGAAAACTTGGATGTTGAGCAAATTTGATAAGGATCAGGGAATGAAAAAAAAAAACCCTGTTAAACCCTACATGTATAGCCTCTTTTCAAGTTCACACGGCTTTCGGATATGTGGGAGTAGGGGAGCCAAATATGAAAAAAAATCCATTAAAAAAATGAAATGGGTTTTAAGGACCTGCTGTTCTGTTCAACTCGGCTATAAGTAAGACGAACATACGCCATAATATGTGCTTTTCGGGATAGTTTGCCTACTCTTATATGGAATTCTAAATGCCATGGGATCTTTTACGTGCATGCTAATGTGTGCACGTGTTCTCGGATTTTTTTGATCCCATCCAAACAACTATACATTGCCCCTTGCCAGACCTTCTGTTTTGCACCACTGACAAGAGTGAACCCCGCCAAAAAATTGAGATGAACTTCAACTGCCCAAACTAGAATCGAACACGGGACCTCCAGATTAGCGAGCCAACATTTTACTCACTGAGACACTGCAGCTTCCATCCATTAAAAACTATAGCATGTATCGATCGCGTCACAAGGTTTTTCGGAAAAGGGGCATAACTCCCGAATATAAAGTAGAAGAACGTTGAATCACGACACGGTTCATCCTCTTATAACCCCAATGCTTTACAGTTTTACACCATATTTTAAAAGAATCTGTCAAAAACTATAACGTCTATCTCGTTCACATCGAAGGATGACCCAGGAACAGAGAGACGCAGAACGCTTAATAAATCTGATAAAAATTTGTTAAAAAATAAAGCCTTTATCTAGTTCCCAATGGTTACGATCAAAGGAGATAACTCTGGGACGTCACGGAATGGAGAAAATCAATAGGATTCACCCTCCCATCCCTCCCTCTCAAGACCTCAATGCTTTCCACCAAATTTGTAAAACACCTGTTCAAAACTACATCCTGTTAACAAGTTTTTCGGAAAAGGGGGGATAACTCAGGAACGGAAAGTCAGGGGTTTTCCTTTCATGACCACAATGCTTCACATCAAATTTGAAAAATATCTGCCCAAAACTCTATCGCATTTGGATATCGATAGGGTTTGGTTTGTACTCTCATACCCACAGATAAAAAAAAATATATCTGAAACTACAGCCCCTATCGCGTTCACAAGGTTTTCGGCAAAGGGGAAAGGAATAACTCCGGAACAGAAAGTCATAGAATGCTGAATTTAGGGTATGGCTTCTCATGATCACAATGCTTCACACCAGATTGAACACCAAACTGTCGAACCCTACAGCCTCTATAGTGATCACAAGGTTTTCGACAAAGGGGGGAGTGGGTAAGTCTGGAACGGTGACAATCGATAAGGCTCGTTCACTCATTACCACAATGCTTCACACCAAACATAAAAAGAAGCCGTCGAAGCTATTGCCTCTATCATGGTCACAAGGTTTTCAAAAAAGAGGCCTTACTCCTAACGAAAAGTCGCGGAAAACTAAAAATCAATAGAGTTCGTCCCCCCTATGACTATGATGCTTCACATCAAAATTGAAAAGAATCCGTCACACACTGTAGCCTCTATTCTGTTCAAAGGCCAGTCTGTTAAAAAATGTAGTTTATTGTACAAGGCATATCGCGTTAACAAATGTTTTCGGCAAAGGGGTATAACTCTGGAAAAGAAAGACGTGGAAAGCTGAAAATCGATAGAGTTCGTACTACACCCTCTTTTGACCACGATGCTTCACTCCAAATGTTTGAAAAATAAAACTTCAAAAACTCTATTGCATTCAAAACTCAATTGTTGACGGCCGAGGGACAGGGTGACGTCATAATGCACACACATTGAAATGTGGGCGTATAAAAAAGGGACAACGTATAGTCAGTCATTCGTAAAGGACGGAAAATATGAGTAGACCGTAGGGCAGCCGTGCGGGCAAAATTTCCCTCATAGCAGAACAGTTAGGAGATAAACCCCGTTTCATTTTAATTTTATCTGTTAGTCAACGCCAGCGTTCTACGGACCATTTAAGACAAAACTGACATTGACAAACATATTCAAAACATACAGACCTTTAGTCAAATCTTGCTTACTAGCTGCTGTACTGTCAACCCGTTTCTCCCAGTCCCTCGTCAGTTGTGTTTTTTCTTTTTCTAGTGTTTGTATTCTTTCATCTAAAGTTTTCATGTTTTTTCTTATTTCACCATAGAGTTTATCTACGTCCTGGTATATCTCCTGTTCTGCTTCTCGAAATGTTTCATGTAGCCGTGTTTCATATCCTTTATCTACATGTTTTCTTCTTTCTTCTTCCTGATGGGCAGCACGTTCATGTATTCCACCTTTCCTATAACGATGACTCTGAATAATGTGGTGTCTTTCGTCATAAAGTTGTTGAATACGTTCATCTAAAGCTTCTATCCGTCTTCTATACTCTTCTTCGTCAGTCAGCCGTCGACTTTCATCACTAGAGGAGTCTTTTAAATTGCCACGGGTGTCGGCCATTCTTCTTTTTCTAGCTATACTGTCAATTTATTTCGATCTCGAGCTACCAAATTTTGGCCGCTATGGTAAACAGAATTGTTAAGGCGTCTGGAACAAACTGGATGCGCGAGTGAAGATTTAGTAAGGCGTTTGGAATCCCTTGAAATAAAATTAGGGTTTTTTTTAAAACATTAAGTATAAGTAAACCATTAAGTGCGACTTTGCGTAGCGTTTCTCGCCGCTTTGTGTACGACTCCATTATTTCTTTAACTTGAAAATATGGGACCAACAAACCATACCACTGTAACCTCTGATATGAATTTGAAAATTCCAAGAAAGCTAATTTTAGTTGAAATGCATTGCGAGATGACATCAACGAATTAATATTTCGTTTAAACGAATTAATAGTTCGTTTAAGTGAATTAATCTCTCTCTCGGTTGGCTTATAGGACTCTGTGAGCCTGTATTAAGCATTGGAGTGATGATCGAAAGGACAAACCCTATCCATTTTCATCGTTCCGCAACCTTCAGTTCCTAGCTTACCCCCATTTGCCCCAAAAGTTATAAACGCAATAAAGGCTACAGGTTTTAACAAATTTATTTCAAATTTGGTGTGTATTTCGCAGTTCTGTGTCGATCTATAAAAAAGGTAAGCGTACCTGCGATGACATTCTGACAATCTTATTCTTATATTATAGCAAAATGAAATGAAATGAAATGGAGTTTAACGTCCTACTGTTCTGCTCCTAACCTGGGCTAATGAAGACGGGCATACGCCATACAGTGTGCTATGAGGGAAATTTTGCCCGGACAGCGGCACTACGGCCTACTCTTATATCGAATTCCAACTGCCAAGGGATCTTTTACGTGCACGCCAATGTGTACACGGGACCTCGGTTTTTCGTCCCATCTGAACGACTAGACAGCTTTCCTTGTCAGCCCCTCCGTCCTGCATCACTGACAAGGGAGAACCACGCCGGAAAATCTGGATGAACTTTCTCGGCCAATGCAGGGATCGAACACCCAACCTCCAGGCTAGCGAGCTAGCGTCTTACCCACTTAGCCACGTGATCCCCTATATATATAGCAATATGAAATTTTACCTTAGAAAGAAAAAATTACGGGAATCATCGGAAAATACGTCCAGTTAAAAACCTCAACCACGCTACCTCGTTCTGGTATTACATCAAATCATAAGCTAGCTGATGTTAAAGTTACAATTTCATATTTTTAAATTATATTTTTAAAATGTATTAAAATAAAGCCCTAAAATAGATGGTATCTATAAACAGTCCTACCTTGTTAAAGAATAATCCTATTAATCCTATAATTCACTATTGCCAGTTGAGAAATTGGCAAAATATAATTTTCAACTTCAAATTCAAACGTTTGAAGATAGCTATTCCATAGTGGGGAATAGAAAAACAAGGGAGGTAATTGTGTTATTATTTCCGGTGTGAAGATTTTTAAGTGTGAGAAAGATAACCTATGATCGGATAATAGTGAGTTGACAACCTATTGAGCAAAGGACATAGAAATAATTATGTTTTGACTTTCTTAGAAAATATGAAATTGTAACTTTAATGTATACTATATATATAATATAATCCCTTCAAATGCCTGTGTATTATATGTGTAATATAATATAACATAATATAATATTAGTGGATATCTGAGTCATGTTTGAATAATTTAACATAATCCCCACAACACATTCCTTGCCACAGGTTACAGGTAGAAATTCTAGTTGTTAAAAGGGGCGTTGCCAACATCAAAGGATGACTTCATATCTGTATTTTAACACTAATTATGGTACGCTTATAATTAATAATCTCCCTCTTTCTCGCTCTCCCTTTCTCTGTCTCTCGAAGAAGATATTTATTGATGGCTAATCATATATGTTACAATAATTTTGTGCGGTTGGGTTAAAATAAAACAACTTGTGTTGATATGATTTGACTAAACGATTCGAATTTAGCCTCTATGTATTGAATACAGGGGCAGATTGGGCCATCGGGCGATTGGGCGATCGCCCGAAGGGCCGGTCGTAAAAAAATGAAAAAAATAATTTTGTCCAATTCGTCTAAAAAAAACTTTTTCTGCTGAACATTATATGGGGTGGGGTGGGGGGTATTGGACCGTCCATGGAGCGATGATGATCATGTTGTATGTGGCCGGTCCGGTGGAGTCTGGAATGGGCTGGTATAATAGACTTTCTGGGCCGGGTGTGCTGGGTGTGGGCCGGAATTTGGAATCCTGCATAATAAGACATGATAATTTCACAGGTTGATGGTTGTAAAGTTTTGGCCTAAATTTTAAATTAATCGATTTATGAGATATATTATTTGACAGAGATTATAATCAGATATGCCACCAAATCGCATATTTGGGGTTTATTTTTCAAAATTTTACAGGGGGAGAGCCCCCGGACCCCCCATCCGGGCTCCGCGGTCAGTAAAAGGAGCCGCTCCGACACGGAAGCCCGGGACGGTTCGCGACCCCAATCCTCCCCTGATTGAATATGTCCAAAACGCATCACAAGAATTATATCGATATATCTATATATCCTTTTTGGCGTATCTACAGACTTATATCATAACAACTCACCTATTTACTTCAACCATCTTGTCGTGGCCATGTGAATTATTTCTTCCCCTCTTTTAATTGCGATTTCAGAAGCTGATTTTCTTCCGTGTTACGGTTTATGCAAGGGAAACAAATCTATGTTATTAGGGAAGCCTATAGGGGCCAATAGCGCGAAAGATATCACGATATTAATATGAAAATATGTCTACATATTGTGATCGTTGTGATGATTTAATCACTCAAAAGACAGTTTTTGCCGAGTTAATTTTACTAACGCGATTTGTTGTATGTAGCCATTTCGTATTAAATGCGGACGTTTGCGTTATGATATTGCTCTTCGGAAATTTTGGCAACATATTCCATTATCACCGTGCGCTATGTCGATATATACTACCGCGAAAAGGAATGTGATAACAATGCTTCAGAATAGCAATATCTTAACGCAAACGTGCACATTTAGAACGAAATGACGGCATATAACATGGTGCATTGATTATATTAACTCCGCAATAATTGTTTTTTCAGGCCTGTCCAACCTCGTGGGTTTTCTCCGGGTCCTCCTGTTTCCTCCCACTGCTAAAGACCCCTACGCGCAAGCGAATTATGGAAATAAAATTAAACCATGTTAGTCCCGAAATGACCTAGTTTGTGTCGAGTGGACGTTAAACCCCATTTCTCACTTTCTCTCTAGTAATTCTTTTCCGTTTTGTATGGTGGCTGATTGTATGGAAGCGTATTTGGGTCACTACTTATTGAGATAATATCGCAACACATCGAACTAAAATATGTCAACTTCATGAGTTATATTACAAAAAATCGACTTAATAAGTCGACTCGACGCATTAAATTCACCTCTAAACGACAAAAACTATGTCGATATGTTTACATCATGCCAATAGTCGATTTGACTCTAACTCAACAAGTCATATTTTAATGCAATATATAGACTTAATAATGTCACCGTTTTCAGTTGATGTTTGCTCCTGATGCATCAACACGTACAATTTTACTTGATATCAGTACTAACAAACATTGCGGTTTTATTAGGTGGTCATTCCCGTTAAGCCGTCAGTCATGCAAACCCCTTGAGTCTACTGTAGCCAGGAGAAATTTGATTGGACGATTACAATAGAAACATTTCGTCAAAACCCCAAGATTGTGCTATCAGTACATTGCTTCAGGAATATGGTAAAAGTCACAACATTGTTAACTCTATTGTTCGTCCAAATAGTATTTAGTCTTGAGAGTTCACAAGGTTCAGACTAGTAGTATTGACAAGACAAAGCCGATACTAAAAATAGCACAAACATGTCCATATTGAACTGCAATGTTCTATCCAAAAACATGATAATCCAAAATTTCTCCTAAAAATCTCCCCACGTTTTCACACAGTAATCACCTAGTTCTTAGTTACACTATACACAAGTTTCAAATATCATATTTGAAGAAATCAGAGCAAAATAACCCAGTTGTAGTCACACATGGCAAAAAAACTCTTTTGGTGCTTGGAACAGTAATAAGTGCTGATAGTAAGTCTTTTAGGATTATATACAAATTACCACCCTCAAAGAAAAAAAATAACAAACAATTTTTTTCACCGATGAATTTTCAGCTATGGTAGATATAATTGACAAGAAAGAGGAGAATTCTACAATTATTGTCGGAGATTTTAATATCCATTATGGGGGTGGTGGTGGTAGTGGGGTGGATGGCCGAATGGTTAGCACGTGCACACTGTATCATAAGGCCTGTCATTGAGTCAACTGGCGTGGTTTCGAATCCCCAGTTGTACGTGACAAGGACTAGGGTTGCCTGTCAAACCTAGTGGGTTTTCTCCGGGTCCTCCGGTTTCCTCCCACTGCTAAAGACCCCTAAAATTAAACCATATGTTAGTCTCGAAATGACCTAGTTTGTGTCGAGTGGACGTTAAACCCCATCATTGGCTGCACTTCCATGAATAAGCAATCTCGGGCAATGAAATTAAGCACGTGGTACATAACTGAAAACGGCGACATTATTAAGTCTATATATTGCATTAAAATATGACTTGTTGATTTAGAGACAAATCGACTATTGGCATGATGTAAACATATCGACATAGATTTTGTCGTTTAGAGGTGAATTTAATGCGTCGAGTCGACTTATTAAGTCGATTTTTTGTAATATAACTCATGAAGTTGACATATTTTAGTTCGATGTGTTGCGATATTATCTCAATAAGTAGTGACCCAAATACGCTTCCATACTGATTGGTATCATGTCGTGATGTCGTGGTGTCGCCCTTCATAAGGCGACAACCTGACAACCCGACATCACGACATTATAACCCGACACCACGACAACCCGACATCACGACATTTTTAAGCCGACACTTCGCCGCGACATATCCACCCGACACCACGACATTAAGAGTGTCGTAATGTCGCGTAAAAATGTCATATTGTCGGGTTAAAATGTCGTGATGTCGGGTTGTCGTGGTGTCGGGTTATCGGCCATATTCCTC